AGTAGTAGTAGTAGTAGTAGTAGTAGTAGTAGTAGTAGCAGTAGTAGTAGTAGTAGTAGTAGTAGTAGTAGCAGTAGTAGTAGTAGTAGTAGTAGTAGTAGTAGTAGTAGTAGTAGTAGTAGTAGTAGTAGTAGTTAGTAGTAGTAGTAGTAGAGTAGTAGGTAGTAGTAGTAGTAGTAGTAGTAGTAGTAGTAGTAGTAGTAGTAGTAGTAGTAGTAGTAGTAGTAGTAGTAGTAGTAGTAGTAGTAGTAGTAGTAGTAGTAGTAGTAGTAGTAGTAGTAGTAGTAGTAGTAGTAGTAGTAGTAGTAGTAGTAGTAGTAGTAGTAGTAGTAGTAGTAGTAGTAGTAGTAGTAGTAGTAGTAGTAGTAGTAGTAGTAGTAGTAGTAGTAGTAGTAGTAGTAGTAGTATAGTAGGTAGTAGTAGTAGTAGTAGTAGTAGTAGTAGTAGTAGGCATGGTAGTAGTAGTAGTAGTAGGTAGTAGTAGTCTACTGCTACTGCTACTGTACTACTACTACTACTACTCCTAGTAGTAGTAGTAGTAGTAGTAGTAGTACTGATAGCAGTAGTAGTAGTAGTGTCGGTAGTAGTAGTAGCAGTAGTAGTAGTAGTCGTAGTCGTCGTAGTCGTAGTAGTTGTAGTACTGGCAGTCGTAGTCGTAGTAGTAGTAGTAGTAGTAGTAGTAGTAGTAGTAGTAGTAGTAGTAGGAGTATGAGTAGGAGTAGGAGTAGTGGTGGTAGTAGTAGTAGTAGTAGTAGTCGTAGACGTAGTAGGCGTAGTAGCAGTATTAGTAGTAGTAGTAGTAGTAGTAGTAGTAGTAGTACTACTAGTAGTAGTAGTAGTAGTAATAGTAGTCCTCGTCGTAGTAGTCGTAGCAGTACTTAGTAATAGTAATAGTACTAGGAACAGTAGCAGGAATAATAATAGTAGTAGGCATAGTAGTAGTAGTAGTAGTAGTACTAGTAGTAGAAGTAGTAATACTCGTAATATTGCTAAGAGTAGTAGTAGTAGTAGTAGTACTAGTAGTAGTCGTAGTCGTAGTAGTAGCAGAAGTAGTAGCTGTTGTAGTAAAAGTAGTAAACGTAGTAGTAGTAGTAGTCGTAGTAGTAGTAGTAGTAGTAGTAGTAAAAGCAGTAGTAGTAGTAGTAGTAGTAGTAGTAGTAGTAGTACTTCTGGAGGGTGTAGTAGTACTAATAGAGGTAGTAGCATCACAATTCGTAATATAAATATTAGTACGTGTGGAGGGTATAGTAGTACAAATAGTAGTGGTTGTAATAGTAGTAGTAATAGTGACACTAGGAATACTAAATGTAGTACGATTTGAAGTCTGAGTATTCGTAGTAGTATCAGCAGTAGTAGTAGTAGCAGTAGTACTAGCCGTAGTAGTAGTAGTAGCAGTAGTAGTGGTAGTAGTAGTAGTAGTCGTAGTAGCAGTAGCAGTAGCATTAGTAGTAGTAGTAGTAGTAGTAGTAGTAGTAGTAGTAGTAGTACTAGTAGTAGTAGTAGTAGTACAAGTAGTAGTACAAGTAGTAGTAGTAGTAGTGGTAATAATAGTAGTAATAGTGGTAGTAGTAGTAGTAGTAGTAGTAGTAGTAGAAGTAGGAGTAGAAGTAATAGTCGTAGTCAAAATAGTAGTCGTAGTAGTAGTATTATTTGTAGTAGTAGTAGTAGTAGGTAGTAGTAGTCGCAGCAGTAGTAGTAGTCGTAGTAGTAGTTGTAGTAGTAGTATAAATAGTAGTGGCACTAGTAGTAGAGAGTAGGAGTAGGAGTAGGAGTAGGAGTAGTGGTCGTAGTAGTAGTAGTAGTAGTCGTAGTAGTAGTAGTAGTAGTAGTAGTAGTAGTAGTAGTAGTAGTACTAGTAGTAGTAGTAGTAGTAGTAGTAGTAGTCGCCGTAGTCGTAGTACTAGTAGTAGTAGTAGTAGTAGTAGTAGTAGTAGTAGTAGTAGTAGTAGTACTAGTAGTAGTAGTAGTAGTAGTAGTAGTAGTAGTAGTAGTAGTAGTAGTAGTAGTAGTAGAAATAGTAATGGTAGTAGTCGTAGTCGTAGTCGTAGTCGTAGTAGTAGTAGTAGTAGTAGTAGTAGTAGTAGTAGAAGAAGTAGTAGTAGTAGTAGTAGTAGTAGTAGTAGTAGTAGTAGTACTAGTAGTAGTAGTAGTAGTAGTAGTAGTAGCAGTAGTAGTAGTAGTAGTAGTAGTAGTAGTACAAGTACAAGTACAAGTACAAGTACAAGTAGTAGTAGTACAAGTAGTAGTAATAGCAGCAGCAGCAGCAGTAGTAGTAGTAGTAGTAGTAGTAGTAGTAGTAGTAGTAATAGTAGTAGTAGTAGTAGTAGCAGTAGTAGTAGTAGTAGTAATAGTAGTAGTAGTAGTAGTAGTAGTAGTCGTGAGAATCTCTCAGAATCTCTCAGAATCTCTGCAGGAATCTCTCGGAGGCTCGCAGGAATCTCTCAGGAATCTGTCAGAATGTCTCAGAACGTCTCAGAATGTCTCAGAATGTCTCAGAATCTCTCAGAATCTCTCAGAATGTATCAGAATCTCTCAGAATCTCTCAGAATCTTTCAGAATCTCTCAGAATCTTTCAGAATCTCTCAGAATCTCTCAGAATCTCTCGGAATCTCTCAGGATCTCTCAGGATCTCTCAGGATCTCTCAGAATCTCGCAGAATCTCGCAGAATCTCTCAGGATCTCTCAGAATCTCGCAGAATCTCTCAGAATCTCGCAGAATCTCTCAGAGGCTCGCAGTGGCTCTCAGAACCTTGCAGAGGTTGGAGCGTTTCAGAGGCTCCAGAGTGGTTGGGATCTCACGCGTCCCACGCGTCCTTGACGGTTGGGATCTGAACCGTCCGGTTGGGATCTCACGCGTCCGGTTGGGATCTGAACCTTTCTCCCCCGCGCCGCGCACATTTGTTGAAAACGTTGCGAAGCGCTTCGCGGATAGAGGGCGGGTGGGTTTCAACATGTGGCTCTCACCTTCGCACCGCGCGCATTCTTGCTAAATCGCTGCAAGAGTTTCACGGGTGGAAAATTAACGTGTTTTGTTCATGTGGCTCTCGCCAAAGCGTCGCGCGCTTTCGTTGTAAGAGTTCACAGCAATTTCAAGAATTATTGTGGCTAACGTCCCTTAAACAATGTTTTGGCACGGATTCAACTGTCAGGACGCAACGGTTACGTGGATTCGCGGTGTTGAACTCCTAGGAATGGCGCTCTGGCATGATTCGGGATCGTCAAGGCGCAGCAGTAAACGGTGACTCGCGGCGCTTAAATCCCAGGAGTGGTTTTCTGGCAGAGTTCAAGATTTTCGAACGGTTGTCTTCCAAGGGGGCATTGTCCTCAGTAAGACGTATGGGGCCAATGAAGAGGGAACTTGGAGGAGGGGTGGGTTACAATCTCAGTGATGAATCTTGGGTTTACACAGGTCCTCATCCTCGTCCTTGAAGCTCCATGCTGCGGACTGCTCCTCCTCCGCCTCCTCCTGCGTGCGGCCCCAGGAGCGCAACGGGGTGAAACTGAAGAGGCGGAGGAGGACAAGGGAGGGCAAGGGGTGCGAGGGATGGAGGGCCATGGGGGGCAGAGCGGGAAGGGCAGACGCGGTCTCGCCGGCATGCGGGCGGCAAACAGGACCTCGTGGCCTCTTCTGGCTGCCCTGGGGATGTTCCCCGCCAGGGGGGCAAGACGTCGGTCCCTACGGGGAGTTGCCTTGGCCGTGAACAAATCCCACCAGCCCTCTGGGCGTGAGTCGTTTAGGGCGCTTCCTCTTCCCCCTCCCCCCTTCGGACAGGGGTTTACCCATCTCCTCCTGCCCCCTCCCCCTGGACCTGTACGGGGCGCCCCGCGAGGCGTTGGAGCGCCCAAGATTGCCCAAGATTGCTCCCAGAGGGCGCAAGAGAGCCGAAAATGGCAAGATGGACCAAGATAGCGCAAGATTGCTCAAGATGGCTACCTTAATGCTTCAAGAGACTCCAAGACCAGTCCAAGAGGGGGGGTCCAAGTGGCCTCGGAGCCTCCCGCGGATGCCCCCAAGAGGCCCAAATCCTTCAACTACCCAAAGGAAACCAATGTTTTGGCATTCTCGCCCTTCGCTTCCAATGGGTGCCCCAAGAGAACCCCAAGAGGCGACTTTGCGGGCTCGAAAAGGAGGGCACTAATTGAGGGCCCTTTCTTAGATCAGCAGTAAATAACAAGGGTTTTGAAGGGTGTTGGCTTCTCCGGGGGATGCTTCGGAGGCGTTTGGCCCAAGAGGGCTCCGAGAGGGCCGCAGATGCTTTGAGGTGGCCTCCAAGATGGCGCTAGATGGTCAAAGCTGGCTCAAGATGGCCTCTGAGATGCCTCCAAGACTCCAAGAGGCCCCATGAAAGCCCCAAGATGGGTCCAAGTGGCCGCGGAGGCCCCCGAGGAGGCCCCCAAGAGGCCAAACTCCGCTTAAAGCCTAAGAAACATCAATGAGATTGGCCTTCTCGCTCTTTCGCTGCCGATCGGCTCCTGAGGCCTTAAATGGCACACGAAGGCCCCAGGAGAGGCCCAAGATGGCCCCAAGAGCGCACAAGAGCGTGCCAAAAGGCGACGTTTGGGTCTCCAGAGGGGGACCCACATTGAGGGCCCGTTCTCTTTGATCGATCTCCTCCAAGATGACTCCAAGATGGCCCCCAAGGCTCCCAAGACTGCCACAAGAGGGCCCCAAGGGGCGCCCGGGCGGCCGAAAGAGGCCACAAAGAGGTTCCCACGAGGCTCCCAAGAGACCCCCAAGAGGCTCCCCCGAGGCACCCAATACGATCCAAGGGACACCAGGACCGTCAAGAGGTCCCCAAGACGCCCCAAGAAGACTTCAAGAAGCTTTCAAGAGACATCCGAAGGGACTCCGAGAGACACCCAAAGAGGCCTCTGGCCATTCTGCTCGCCCTCCTCCTCCTCCTCCTCCTTCTCCTCCACCACCTGTTCATCCTCCTCCCTCCTCTCTTTTCGCCGTACCCCTCCCTCTCCTCCTCCTGCTCCGATTCCTCCTGCATTCTCCCCCTCCTCGGGTACGTCGGCAGGAGAGCGCATCCCCCTTGGACATTTCTCTGCCGACGCGATGGCGCGTCCTGGCTGTGTACCTTCGCAGGCAGTCAGGCAGTCACACGCGGGCCCGGGCAGCCTGTACAGTGCCGAGGCCCGACCTCGCGACCACGGAGGCCCGGTCGCCTCACTTCAAGGGAGTAGAGTTCGGCTCGTCGACCTGTGAAGGGGCCCAGGGACACACAAATAGATAGACGCAAATCCCAGGATTACCAATCTTTGCCCATATACCTTCTGGAGCTTCATCCCCCCCCACCTCCCATGTTTTCCCCTCCTGAACCTGGGCCTGGCCCCCAGTCTAGCTCCCAGCTGTCGTGACGCCATCTGCGTCGTCGGAGGCGGAGCCGCCTCGGCAGAAGGGAGACGAGCTCGGCTCGTCGAGCTGGCCGTGGCTCCCGGTCTCGCTCCCCGCCGTCGTGGCGCCATCTGCGTCGTCCTTCGTGGCGCCATCTGCGTCGTCCTGCCACCACTCGAACGGCGGGTCCCGCTCCCTCGCGGGGCGCACAATGTAGGGCGCGGGGGCGTAGCGAGTCGTGGGCGGCAGGTAGTACGGGCGCCCAGCGTCGCGGAAGGCGGCGCGGACTTTGTCGCGGATCGAGGGCGGGCTCTGCACCTCCACGTGGTTGTCGCAAAGGTTGTGCCGAGCGAAGGAGCGCTCGGGCTGCAGCAACACGAACGCCGATTCGGACCCGAAGCTGAAGCGTGGGCTCGACGCTGGGTAGCAGGGCGCGAAGCTCGTCACGAAGAAGGTGGCGCCAGCGAAGCGGAAGCACCAGCCCCGCTCTCCAATGTACTTCTTCCGCATGCAGCCGTCGAGCTGGGGGTCCCTGTCGGAGAGCTCCGTCAGCGCCACCCTCACGCTCCGGCCGAAGCTCGCGACGTCGCCCTTGGCGTCGGCGCTGGCGAGTTCCAGCACGAAGCCGTCGAGCGCCTCGCCCGCCTCGCTCCGCCGCACGAACTCCCCCAGCGCCGCCGCGCTCGCGGCAGGGTCCCCAGGCTTGCCGCTCCTGGGAAAAACAAAAGATACCGATACCGCTATTCCCCGGACCTCTCCCGGGGTGCGCTCTAGCCAGAATTCCTGGATAACTCGTAGAAGGCTAAGAGGGCTTGAGATTTCGAAGCCGGAACCGCACAAGGTAGCCCGGGAAGTCGTTCCGGCTTCCGTGAAACATCCCCGGAAAACTTGCCCGACCCTGCAGCGTGTTCCGGCAGGCCTTTTTCTAAGCGTTTCCCCATACGCGTGCCCGTAAGCTCTGCAAAAGGTCCTTCGGAAGCTCTCTGCAGGCTGCAGGTCCTTCCAGGGTTCTTCGACACGCCTTTCCGAGCCCTTGTGCGCCCTGCTATCTGGGTGTTGCATCCCACAGGCTTCGAGGCGAATCCAGCGGTGGCGACGAAGGCCTCCGAGGAGGCCCCAAGAAGGGGAGAACGAGTGAAAGGTAGAGCGGTAGGGTTAGGTCGGGTGTGCGCCCCTTCAGGCGGACTTGGGACGAGAAACAACGAGTACCGCACAAAATGCCCAACAATACCCAAACATTGGTTTCACATAAAAATCGTCCCCAGACCGTTTTTCGACCATGTTTGACTGTTCCTCCTGTAGGGGGACAGGCTCGACTCAATGGCAAGGGTACCTCTTTCCTCCTCTGGGCTCCACAGCTTCGCGCGCCGGGCGAAGGGGCACTGCGTGCGGTGCTGGATCGCGCCGAAGCGGCGCAGGCTCTCGCTCTGGGAGGGGTCGTAGTCGAGGCGGGCGCGCTCCTCGGGCGCGCCAGCGGCGAAGGGCGGCGCGCGGCACGGCCGGGGGTCCCGGATCGCCGCAGAGAGCCAGTCCAGCCCCTCGTAGAGGCCCTCGCGAGGCAGGGCCGAGGTGAGGATACCAAATCGGGCGAGGATGAGTCGAGAAGCTCTGAGATCCCGCGGCTCTGGAGGATGTCTCGGGCGCCCTGCCTTCTCTGAGCGTTCGTGAACGGCACGCTCTGGAACGGATTTATCCTCGCCCTGGCCCCGTCCAACCTCGCCCAACAGCGCGCTTGTCTGCTGGCAGGTCCAAGGCCGCGAGAGCTTCTGGAGGTCCAAAATGTCAGCGAGCTGCGCGGCGCTCCGCGCGCCTGGCAGGTCTTGCTTGTTGGCATACACGATCATCGGCAGGCCCGCCAGATCGGGCTCGCGCTCCAACAGGAATATCTCGTCTTTGACCTGGTCCATACGCTCGCGGTCATTGGCGTCGACCACGAAAATAATCGCGCTTGTGTTCTGGTAGATGGGCCGATTTTCGATTTTCCACCACCACTACCACAAGAAGAAAATGGAGGAGGAGGAAGAGGAGGAGGAGGACCTCCCCATCTTCCCTTCTCCCCCGTCCTACCTACGGTTGTGGCGGTGGAAAATCCGCCCATCACTGGTAATAGTGGCGCCAGAGAGGCCTGATTTTGTCCCGGCCACCGACGTCCCAGCAGGTCATCAGTATGTTCCCGTACTCCAGCGTCTCGACGTTGAACCCTATGGTGATGGGCCGATTCTTCACCACCACTACCCTAGGTAGGAGAGGGAGAAGGAGTAGTAGGAGGAGGCGGAGGAAGAGGTGGAGGAGGAGGAGGCGGAGGAGGAGGAGGAGGAGAACCTCCTCATACTCCTTTCTCCCCGTCCTCCTATCTATGGTGGTGGTGGTGGAAAGCTGGCCCATCATATGGTTGGGATGGTGGTGACAACTTCCCCGAGCTTCAACTTGTACAAGATCGTCGTCTTCCCCGCGGCATCGAGCCCGTGTATGAGGATCCGCGTCTCCTGCTGAAGCGGCCAGGGGGTCTGCGTTGGATGGGCCCTGAAAAAATGGGTCAAGGGGGGAGGACGAAGAGGAGGAGGAGGAAGAGGAGGAGGAGCAAGAGGAGGAAGAAGAAAGTTATTAAGAAGAAACCTGATAATAATGATCCTTTTCGGTCCCCAACCAAATTCTTCGGGCCACGTCTAGCCAGCCGTGGCGACGAAGGGGGCCCGTTCTCCCCCCCCCCCCCCCCTCTTCTGCTGGCCGGAACCAGGTGCAGGGCCACCTCAGCCCCCCCGGCTGGCTCCGAGTCTCCTTCTGCTTGCCGAAGCACTTCCAGACGGGATGTGGACGCGCAAAAACCGCCCCCATCGCGGAGCCTTTCTGTTGCTGGCTAGCCTTCGGGACGAACAGAGCCTTTCTTCGGCAGCCAGTGAGCCAACATGCGGAGGAAGAGGAGAATTACGACGAGAGGAGAATTAGCAAGTTGAGGGGTAAGATTAGACGGAAGAAGAGCAAATGAAAAGGCCTTAGATCCCTAGCCCAAGAAACAGATGTTCGGATCAATTTAAGCAACACAAGCAACGACGTACTGCACAACCAACCCATTGACTACGCTAGCGACACGAACAATCAGCACATCCGACGTGTCGTGTTGCAAAGAATCAAACTGATCCTCTGGTCTTATTTGTTGACGTATATCTTCAATTACGTTGGTGTATATCTTCAACCACGTACGGAAACCATACATAGTAGCCTGCTGAAGTCAAGGCAACTAGTACAGACACAACCTACTAATACAACTAGAACCGCGCTCGCGCTTCGCGCACGCTTAGGTTCTAGCGCGCCGCGGTCTTCGACAACAGCACAGCTGCAAATGTGCACAAACCTACGCAAGGAGTCACCACAAGGTGCGATGTCACAGAGGACATCTTCAATGTAACTGTCCCTGCCTCTCTCTCTCTCTCTCTCTCTCCTTTGTCCTCCTTCTCGTGCGGGGTTCGTTATCCTCTGCCGCAGCCGCGAGGGGGATGAGAAGAGAGGATGTATGGTCACAAACTTTCGAGAGGGTAGGAGGGGGTTCGAGGGAGCAGGAAGCATAAGGGGAGGGATGAAGGAGGAGGGAGGTGGAGCGAAGGAGTGAGGAAGAGCAAGGGAGGAGGGAGAGAGAAAGGACTTGAGGAGGAGGGAGGGAGACAGCAGAGAGGAGGACAAGAAGGTGTACTCGCGCCATGCATCTCTGACATCCTACCTTGCCCCCCAATCCCTTACCATAACGCTGAGTTGTTGTCCATTTTCCCCGACGGGTGCCATAGCCGACCTGGAACCTCCCAAATGACCCCATCGTGTTCTTCGCAATTGAAAAGGGGACCAGTGCACGTTGGATGGGGGACGAAACAGGATGAGAAGGAGGCGGCGGACGAGCAGGAGGATGGGCGGGAGGGAGAGAAGGAGAATGAAGGAGGCGCAGGAGGTGCAACGGCATCAGGAGCAGGAAAAGCGGGAGGAGCAGGAGGACTGGGGGAAGGCGGGAGAGGATGCGTGAGGGGGGCAACAACAACAAGTGTCTGGAGGGGACTGAAAGGGAGCGGGGGGACTGCATTGCAGTGGATTCGGTTGCGAGGAGGTCTCAAGCGAAACGGGCTGGACCAGGCCAAGCCCGCACCCTCGCGCCCATAGCTGTGAGGATGTCCCGAGCGAAACTGGCCGGATCACCTCACACCAAGGCATCTTTGAGCCCAGAGCTGTGATTACGTCGCCAACGAAATTGACCAGGCCACCTCAGATCAGGGCTTCTTCGAGCCCAGAGTTGCGAGAATGTCTCAAGCGAGACTGGCTGGACCACCTCTCGGGCAACACCTCCGAGCAGGCGCATAGACCTGGACCGCCTCAGGTGCGGGCCCTCGAGTCCAGAGTTGCGAGGATATCTCAAGCGAAACTGGCCCGACTACCTCAGGTCAGAGCATACCTGAACCCAGGGTTGTGAGGATGCTGAAGGCAAAACGGCGTGGACTACTCCAGGTCAGGGCTTTTCAGAGCACAGAGTTGCAAGAACATGTCGGGAGGAACTGGCTGGCGCCAGGAGTGGATTGATGGCAGCGGCTGCAAGGATGGATGCGTGACGGTGCAGTCGTGCAGGGTTATTCGCATGATCGCGGATGATGGTGTATTGGAAGGGCTGGTGCGAAACAGTGGCTCGCACAGGTGCCGAGAGAATGGAGAACGCGTGTTGAGGGCGAGGTGCTGGTGGCGGAGACGTGTTTTTTGTTGTTTGTTCCCTTTGATTTGTTCCCCATATCCTAAGTGGGGTTATTGTTTTCTCTGCACACCCTCCGCGCAGGATCTCTCCTCCTCCTCCGACTCCCTCTCCTCTGCTCCTCTTTGCTTCCTCCTTCGCATCATCATCACCATCACCATCACTCCCCACTCATCATCATCATCATCATCATCATCATCATCATCATCATCATCATCATCATCACCATCAGCATCACCATCACCATCGCACGATCACTCACCATCATCGGCATCGAACGATCATCATCATCATCATCATCATCATCATCATCATCATCATCATCATCATCATCATCATCACTACTCGCTGACTTGAGGCCTGAATATGGAGGAAGTATCAGGCGGGAGCCTCGTCTGTGAGTGAATTGTGAGAAAGTCTCAGGCGGGAGCCCCCTCCCTATGGGGCCCGCACTTCATGTTCGAATCCGAGCGGGTCATCCGCAACGTGCAACTGCCGTCACTTTTGGGCTCTTGAGACCTGAAGATGGAGGAAGTCTCGAGCGGGATCCTCGTCTGTGAGTGAATTGCGAGGAAGTCTCAGGCGGGAGCCCCCTCCCTATGGGGCCCGCACTTCATGTTCGAATCCGAGCGGGTCATCCGCAACGTGTATCTGTCGTCACTTTTGGGCTCTTGAGGCCTGAATATGGAGGAAGTCTCGAGCGGGAGCCTCGTCTGTGAGTGACTTGCGAGGAAGTCTCAGGCGGGAGCCCCCTCCCTATGGGGCCCGCACTTCATGTTGAAATCCGAGCGGGTCATCCGCAACGTGCAAGTGTCGTCACTTTTGGGCCCTTGAGCCCTGAATATGGAGGAAGTATCAGGCGGGAGCCTCGTCTGTGAGTGGATTGTGAGGAAGTCTCAGGCGGGAGCCCCCTCCCTATGGGGCCCGCACTTCATGTTCGAATCCGAGCGGGTCATCCGCAACGTACAACTGTCGTCACTTGTGGGCTCTTGAGACCTGAATATGGAGGAAGTCTCGAGCGGGAGCCTCGTCTGTGAGCGAATTGTGGGGAAGTCTCAGGCGGGAGCCCCCTCCCTATGGGGCCGCACTTCGTGTTCCAATCCGGGCGGGTCATCCGCAACGTGTATCTGTCGTCACTTTTGGGCTCCTGAGGCCTGAATATGGAGGAAGTATCAGGCGGGAGCCTCGTCTGTGAGTGAATTGGAAGGAAGTCTCAGGCGGGAACCCTTTCTCTATGGGGCCCGCATTTCATGTTCGAATCCGAGCGGGTCATCCGCAACGTGCAACTGTCGTCAGTTTTGGGCTCCTGAGACCTGAAGATGGAGGAAGTATAAAGCGGGAGCCTCGTCTGTGAGTGAATTGCGAGGAAGTATCAGGCGGGAGCCCCCTCCCTATGGGGCCCGCGCTTCACGTTCGAATCCGAGCGGGTCATCCGCAACGTGTAACTGTCGTCACTTTTGGGCTCTTGAGGCATGAATATGGAGGAAGTATCAGGCGGGAGCCTCGTCTGTGAGTGAATTGTGAGAAAGTCTCAGGCGGGAGCCCCCTCCCTATGGGGCCCGCGCTTCATGTTCGAATCCGAGCGGGTCATCCGCAACGTGTAACTGTCGTCACTTTTGGGTTTTTGAGGCATGAATATGGAGGAAGTATCAGGCGGGAGCCTCGTCTGTGAGTGAATTGCGAGGAAGTCTCAGGCGGGAGCCCCCCCCCTATGGGGCCAGCACTTCACGTTCGAATCCGAGCGGGTCATCCGCAACCGGCAACTGTCTTCACTTTTGGGCTCTTGGGACCTGAATATGGAAGAAGCCTCGAGCGAAAACCTCGTCTATGAGTAAATTGCGAGGAAACCTCAGGCGGGAGCCCTCTCCCTATGGGGCCCGCACTTCATGTTCGAATCCGAACGGGTCATCCGCATCGTGTAACTGTCGTCACTTTTGGGCTTTTGAGGCCTGAATATGGAGGAAGTATCAGGCGGGAGCCTCGTCTGTGAGTGAATTGTGAGGAAGTCTCAGGCGGGAGCCCCCTCCCTATGGGGCCCGCGCTCCATGTTCGAATCCGAGCGGGTCATCCGCAACGTGCAACTATCGTCAGTTTTGGGCCCGTGAGACCTGAAGATGGAGGAACTCTCGATCGGGAGCCTCGTCTATGAGTGAATTGCGAGGAAGTCTCAGGCGGGAGCACCCTCCCTATGGGGCCCGCACTTCATGTTCGAATCCGAACGGGTCATCCGCAACCTGCAACTGTCGTCACTTTTGGGCTCCTCGGACCTGAATATGGAAGAGGTCTCGGGCGGGAACCTCGTCTGTGAGTGAATTGCGAGGAAGTCTCAGGCGGGAGCCCCCTCCCTATGGGGCCCGCACTTCATGTTCGAATCCGAGCGGGTCATCCGCAACGTGTAATTGTCGTCACTTTGGGGCCCTTGAGGCATGAATATGGAGGAAGTATCAGGCGGGAGCCTCTTCTGTGAGTGAATTGTGAGGAAGTCTCAGGCGGGAGCCCCCTCCCTATGGGGCCCGCGCTTCATGTTCGAATCCGAGCGGGTCATCCGCAATGTGCAAGTGTCGTCACTTTTGGGTTCTTGAGATCTGAATATGGAGGAAGTATCAGGCGGGAGCCTCGTCTGTGAGTGAATTGCGAGGAAGTCTCAGGCGGGAGCCCCCTCCCTATGGGGCCCGCACTTCTTCATGTTCGAATCCGAGCGGGTCATCCGCAACGTGTAACTGTCGTCACATTTGGACTTGTGAGATCTGACTATGGGGATAATATCAGGCGGGAGCATCGTATGTGAGTGAATTGTGAGGAAGTCTCAGGCGGGAGCCCCCTCCCTATGGGGCCCGCACTTCATGTTCGAATCCGAGCGGGTCATCCGCAACGTGCAACTGTCGTCACGTTTGGGCTCTTGAAACCTGAATCTGGAGGAAGTATCAGGCGGGAGCCTCGTCTGTGAGTGACTTGTGAGGAAGTCTCAGGCGGGAGCCCCCTCCCTATTGGGCCCACACTTCATGTTCGAATCCGGGCGGGTCATCCGCAACGTGCAACTGTCGTCACTTTTGGGCTCTTGAGACCTGAATATGGAGGAAGTCTCGAGCGGGAGCCCCGTCTGTAAGTGAATTGCGAAGAAACCTCAGGCGGGAGCCCCCTCCCTATGGGGCCCGCACTTCATGTTCGAATCCGAGCGGGTCATCCGCAACGTGTAACTGTCGTCACTCTTGCGCCCTTGAAGCCTGAATATGGAGGAAGTCTCGAGCGGGAGCCTCGTCTGTGAGTGAATTGTGAGGAAGTCTCAGGCGGGAGCCCCCTCCCTATGGGGCCCGCGCTTCATGTTCGAATCCGAGCGGGTCACGCGCAACGTGCAACTGTCGTCACTTTTTGACTTTTGAAACCTGAATATGGAGGAGGTCTCGAGCGGGAGCTTCGTCTGTGAGTGAATTGCGAGGAAGTCTCAGGCGGGAGCCCCCTTCCTATGGGGCCAGCGCTTCATTTTCGAATCCGAGCGGGTCATCCGCAACGAATATCTGTCGTCACTTTTGGGCTCTTGAGGCCTGAATATGGAGGAAGTATCAGGCGGGAGCCTCGTCTGTGAGTGAATAGTGAGGAAGTCTCAGGCGGGAGCCCCCACCCTATGGGGCCCGCACTTCATATTCGAATCCGAGCGGGTCATCCGCAACGTGCAACTGTCGTCACGTTTGGGCTCTTGAGACCTGAGTATGGAGGAAGTATCAGGCGGGAGCCTCGTCTGTGAGTGAATTGTGAGGAAGTCTCAGGCGGGAGCCCCCTCCCTATGGGGCCCGCACTTCATGTTCAAATCCGAGCGGGTCATCCGCAACGTGCAACTGTCGTCACTTTTGAGCTCTTGAGACCTGAATATGGAGGAAGTCTCGAGCGGGAGCCTACGGCCCAGCCCGAAGGTTTGTCCCGACGGCTTCGCGATCTAGCCGTCGGCAGACGCGCGCGCGCTGGCCGATTCGGGGACGGCGCTGAGGAAAATGGATTTGCTTGCCCCGACGAGGGGGAAGGGGAGGTGCACATGGAGAAAAAGGCAGGGGGATGAGGAGGGAAGGGGCATGGGGGAGGCCGACGACGAGGAGGAGGTGGCGCGAGAGGAGGAGAAGGAGGAGGAGGAGGAGGAGAAAGAGAAATAGAAGGGGGAAGAGAGGGCAGTGCAGGGGGCGAGAGGAGAGGGTGTCCGCCAGGGGGAGGAGGAAAGGGCAAAGGGTAAGCTAAACATATTCTCATGTGGGGTCCTACCGTCGGAGTAATTGTTGTTTTTTTTCGTGGCAATTTTGAGCTTCAGAGGATTGCAGTGCTACCCCAAAGCAGGCGGGATTTGCTGAAAACCGACATCCTTCCCCCCCCCTCCCGTCCCTCCTCCCACCTCCCCCCTCCTCGTCCCTCCTCCGTGTTCCGCCTTACTCCGCCTTCCTCCTCCTCCTCCTCCTCCTCAGGCGGCTGCCCGGGACGAGGCGAACGCCCACAGAGCGCTCTCGACGAGGCCCCAGTCATGGGCAGTCTAGGTACGAGAGGGGTCTGCGAGTCAGACAATTGGAGGATATGACTATGAATGAACATGAGCAAATCTGACTGAACATCAATATGAATTACTCGTGGCAACTATACCGAGGACCACTCGATACAAACGAACATGTTGAAGGACCCGCAGTGCGTAGGAACACTCACAATCATAACAATAACCAATAACCTCATGTTTTGGAAGAACAATGATCAACAATGGGTGAACGTTGCTGACACCGTCTCAAAACCTCGGTCGAACCCAGGAGGAAGAGGAAGAGGTGGAGGAGGAGGAGGAGGAGGATGAGGACGTCCAGTGCCCATAGAAGTTCAGGGGCAATCAAGAGCGGGAGACGGGGCCCCAGAGAGAGAGAGAGAGAGACTGAAAGTGAAAAGAGGCGTACCTCTACTCGGCGGCGCGCACCAGGAGGTAGGGGAAAGGGGGAAGGCTTCTTAGGGGGCTGGTTCGTGGAAGGCGAATTATATGAAGCAGCCTCCTTCTAAGAGGCCTTCCCACTCCCCCGAACCCCCCTCTGCGCTTGACGGATCTCCCTAGAGGAGGAGGAAAGGGAGGAGGAGGACGAGGAGGAGGAGGCGGCGACCTCTCCTGCGACGTCTCTTTTTCAACCTGCAGGCCCTTGACGCCTCGACCCCTTCCTTACAGGATCAGCCGTCCCGGATCCGATTCTGATGATGCATGGGCTCCAAAGGCCAGAGCGGGATTGGAAACATCGATCCTTCAGAGGTCTGGGGGCTTCGGACCAAATCGGACCCGGACCAGCCCGGGATCTCTGAGATCCATCGGGCGCCGCGGCCGTTTCAGAGCTTTCCTGGACGTTCTGAGAGCGTTCCCGAACGCTCTGGCACGATTCGGCCCGGTCCCAGCCTGGCCCGAGGAGGGCCACTATCAGCAACGCAGAGACGAGGCGTGGGGACCTACGGGAGCCCCAGGGTCGGCGAAAAAAGCGGCGCTGATGCCAAGCGGGCGTGGGGCCAGTGGCACGGCGCAGCTCGCGAAGCGCAGCGGCCGAGGCCGAGCAAGCCTGGCGATTGTGCTGCAGCCTCTTCCACGACATGGGGGAGTTCAGAAGTCAAACGCCAGTGATGGCGCAACAGTTCCACCATTGTCTCCGCGGTGGCGCACGCGCGAAGTGACAGCGGCAGGGCTGGCTCCTCCTGCTGCTGCTCTCTCTTGCTGTGCGCTGCGTCAGCATGCTTGCCACACAGTGACAGCAAGAACTGTGTCAGGGCGCGCAGGGAGCAGTCCCGCATGCCGAGTCCTAGTTCAGATGGCCCCTTCAACTCCTCAAATGCCCATCACTGGCACCAGGCAGGTCCCGCAGATGCAGGGCAGGAGGAGGCGCATGGAGGAGTGGACGACAAGAGCGGGGACGCCTGACACAGCGCTCGCCCTCTTCTGGTGGTCCTGCCAATACTGCTGCCGTGTCTGCGCTCGCCGCCGCCGCTGCCTCTCGTCCTCCCCCTTCCCCTCCGCACCAGCAGCCAGGGAGGCGACGCAACGGGCGGCAGGCGAGGCCCAGTGAGCCGGACGCAAGATCAGCACAAGGTGCAACAGGCAACTGGCGACCCGTAGTACAGTCGGACCTGGGCCTGGGCCGAAAGAACATCCCTCAACAACACGAGGCCTTCCGTCGGCCAAAACAGACAGAGCATCCAAGGGTACCCTCCCCAGGGCGCACAAGAACATCAAACAAATTATCCCGGCAAAGCAACCTAACAGCGATGTGTAGGAGCATATCTGGAAGCATTCCCCTTCAGATTCAGATGAGAATCCAGTTGTAGAATTCTGCTGTTCTCGCAGTCGCAGTCGCGATGACAGTCGCAGTGGCAACGGCAGTCGCAGTCACAGCCTCAGCCTCAGCCTGCCTTCAGCCTCAGCCTCAGCCTGCCTCAGCCTCAGCCTCAGCCTGCTTCAGCCTCAGCCTCAGTCTGCCTTCAGCCTCGGCCTCAGCCTCAGCCTGCCTCAGCCTCAGTCTGCAGCCTCAGCCTCAGCCTCAGCCTCAGCCTGCCTCAGCATCAGCCTGCCTCAGCCTCAGCCTCAGCCTGCCTCAGCCTCAGCCTCGGCCTGCTTCAGCCTCAGCCTCAGTCTGCCTTCAGCCTCGGCCTAAGCCTCAGCCTGCCTCAGCCTCAGCCTGCATCAGCCTCAGCCTCAGCCTGCAAAATATGGCCCGGGAATGAAGTTCTGGGAACTCGAAGAGCACGAAGTGGCCTACAGTTGGCTCGGGGCATTCAAAATCATGCCCGGGAATGGAATTCTGGGAACTCGAAGAGCACGAAGTGGCCTACAGTTGGCTCCAAGCATTCAAAATCATGCCCAGGAATGGAATTCTGGGAACTCGAAGACCACGAAGTGGCCTACAGTTGGCTCCGGGCATTCAAAATCATGCCCAGGAATGGAATTCTGGGAATTCGAAGACCACGAAGGGGCCTACAGTTGGCTCCGGGCATTCAAAATCATGCCCAGGAATGGAGTTCTGGGACCGCGAAGACCACGAAGTGTGTAACTGTTTGCTTAAAACGACTTCCGCGGATTCTCCCCGGATCCTGCCCGGACCCCCCTGGGGAGTCATGATGCTCTCTTTTGAGACCACTAGACACTAGAAACCTATCAGTCTTCGCTGTTAGGTAAATACGAATAACACTAGGGCGCCCCCCCCCCCAAGCCGACCTCGATGTTATACCTCGGTCCGACCGTAATATTCTTGCGCATTCGACCATGTACGCCTTCTTAAACCGTCGGCCTTCGGCGGTCTTCCAGCAGTCTCTGGCGGTCCTCCTCGCGAGAGCTGGCTGATTGCCGTCGCGAAGAGGTCCCTGAGCGAACGCGCAAGACTTGCATCGTTTATGTCAGCCAGGGCTCAGGCTCTGCCTGGACCATCTCCGAATGCAGAAGCGGGCTCGACTGAGGCGCCGCGGCGACCGACTTTTTGGTGAGGGCACGCGTGACGCGAGCTCCACGGCTGCGGCCGTGCATGGTTGCGCCGCGCCGGATGAATTCCACTACTGGAGGCGCGCCGAAGCGAGGGCCTTGGGAAAGACGACAAAGCACGACTGTCCCCACCCGTCGTGTTCTCCTGCCCGGCACCGAACAGGAAAACTTGCAGCACGCGCGCGGAATTTTGAGGGGCCCCCAGAAACCAATGTGCCGGACCTTGAGCACGGATCAGGATGGCACTGCCTTGGACTCGAGAGGGGCTGGAGATGTAGCCGCGCGCCTCCGCTTGCCTCCCCCATCACCCCCCCGGGGCGACTTCAGCAGTCCGCTGCCGCCCTTGCAAGGTTAGCTGGCGTGTAAGGTTTAAGCTTAGGTCGGGCATGTCCTCCTCCTACAGGCAGATACTGGACGAAAACATAGACAACACCCAAACATGCCGTAACATGCCCCAACATAGTCAAACAGGGAACTACGGCGCCACAAATGTTTTCCTTTCGAAAAGGAGGTGAGATCCACCACCCCCCAGGGGTCTGATTCAGCCGCCCTCTCTGGGATAAACAGTTACATAGAAGTGCAATTTACATGTGATTATGCCCCATTGTTTATTCGAAATATGAGTTTATATGTTTCCAACCAACGTGGTATCGATTGTCCACGACGTGGGCTCCCAGAACTTTCCACCTTCTCCCAGGACCGGTTTCTTTCCCAGGGGTGTTTTCTAGCGGCCCCAGGGCCGGGCGAGGGCCTCTGGAGGCCGCAAATAGCAAGCAGCCGTCCGCTTCGATGCTTCCACGACGCGAGAGAGCCTGGGTCAGGAACCAACGCGCGCACCGTCACGACAGCAACCAGCCGCGCGGGGGAGGAGGCGCCCGTTGCTCGAGGCCGGTAGGAGGAGTGCGCCCGTTGTTCATACCTGGGCCTCCCAGGTGGGTTAGAGCAGATGAAAACCCAGACCCCGTCGCGTTGTGGAAAAAAACACGGGGGTCCTACTTCTGGTCTAAAGAACTGGGCCTGGCTGTTGGTCTGGCGGCTCCGTGCTCGCCGCCGCCGCCGCCGCCGTCGCCGCCGCCGTCGTCGTCGTCGTCGTCGTCGTCGTCGTCGTCGTCGTCGTCGTCGTTGTCGTCTTCATCATCCTCGTCCTCGTCCACGTCGTCGCCCTCGAAGAGCTACGGGAAACGCCTACTGACGAAATGAGAAAGGAAGGCGAACCCGCGGGCCACCCTGGCGGCCACCAGGCTGCGAGGAGTAAGTTTGTGTCCCCTGCAAGCAGTCCTCGGCTCCTTGTCTAGTATACTAGTTCCAGTGCGGTCGCTCTGTGCCAGGAGTCACATGTTATGGGCCATTGCTCTGCAATCGAAAGGTGCGAGGTTGCAGACAACGCACCCACCCCCCGCCCCGTTACAAGCACGAACCTGCGTCCCCTCACCCCTTGGATGCCTTGAGGCACGGAGAAATACGATCCATGCGCGCTCCCGAGGCCACAACACCTCGGAAATTACAAAAAGAACGCGCCCCGAGGCCTCAATCCCTGACAATGTACAGCACTCGCGCTCCCGAGGCCATGCTCTAAGGCGCCTCGCGAATTACACCAACTTGACGCGCCCGGAGCCACAATCCCTGGTAGATTGCGACAAGACCGAGCTCCCGCGGCCACGACCATGAGTACATTGCGATGCAGTCGCGCTCCTAAGGCCACTAACCTTTGTACATTACACCGCGCTTGCACGCTCCTGAGGTGGCAACGGCTACTCTGGATGGCGAAATAATCGGGTGGGGGTGACGAACCAACGTGCCTGACGACAACCCAAGAGGCGCCCAAAACGCCTCAAGAATGCCCCGCGAAGAACTCGACGAGGGCTTCGAACAACGGAATTCAATCAATGCAAATTGGCTTTTACAGAAAATCTACGCGCAGGAGACCCCAAGACGCCTCCACGACGGCCCCAGAGGATCCGAAAAGCCCCAAGTAGAGCCCCACGCTCCGACTCCCCCCAAAAAGCACCAGCTGGGGTCGGCGGCAGCGGCAGCCTTGAGATAAGAAGAGGCGCCATGAAATCTGGGGAGATCTCAGGGCCCCCGCCATGATATCCACTCCCCCCTAATCATCACCCCCCTCTGTGCCGGCCCCGATTCATAGGTCAGGTGACTACCCGCAATGGCCTCAGACATGCCCAACACGTAACCACTGCTCACTACCTTGCCGCCGGCCTCCCAGAGTCTGGGGCGCGAGGAGCCGAGCCGAGCCGACGAGGAGGAGGAGAACAGGGGAGGGCTTGTCTTCCACCGCCACCACCATGAGGTCCTCCTCCTCCTCCTCCACCTCCTTCTCCTCCTCCTCCTCCTCCTCATCCTCCATCTCCTTCCCCACTCCAACTTCTGGTGGTGGCGGTGGAAAACAAGCCAATCAGAACAAGGGAGGGCCACGGGTCGGGATCCAGACCTCCGACGCTGTGACCCTTCCACCTCGCAAGCCCCAGACCTCTCGATCCCTCCTAAGACGAAGCCAAGACGAGGATAACATCGGGTAAGGATCGATCGAGAACCTCTGAGATCCGGCGGATCTGGAGCATGTCTCGGGCGCCGAGGCCTTCTCAGAGCGTTCCAGAACGCTCTGGAACGGATTTATCCTAGTCCTAGCCCCGTCCGACCCCCCCCCAAGAATCGGATTACCACCGCAGGCCGCTCTTCTGCAGGCCCCCGGGGCCTGGAAGCGATCCTCTCGAGGCCCAGACCGCAGGGAAACCAGGCGCGGTGCTGTTCTTAGCCATCCTGTGGTGTTGGGACTTGGTCTTCAAAAGCGCAGCGCCCCGCGTCCTCCTCTCATCTCATTTCCTGCCCCCCCCCCTTTCTCTCATCCTTACCTCTGCCCTCCACGTCCCCTCGTCGCTATCGTCATCACCATGCCCGTCATCGTCGTCGTCATCATCGCCATCATCGTCACCATTGTCATCACAATGACCCTCATCACCATCACCATCGTCATTCCCATCACCATCACCATCATCATCACCATCACCACCACCATCAACATCAACACCACCACCATCGTCATCATCATCAACATCATCAGGTATCCCGTCACCAGCACGATTTTCACCTTCATCATCACCATCATTTACACCATCAAAATCACAATCACAAGAATAATAATAATAATAATCATCATCATCATCATTATCATCATCATCATCACCTCTACCATCATTATCATCATCACCACCACCGTCACCATACTCATCATCATCACCGCAAGCATCACCACTTCCATCAACATCGTCTTCGTCACCATCATCGTCATCGCGATGCCTGGAGGTCCGCGGAGGATGGGGGCCCCTTGCTCTATGCACGCTTCCTACATGCACGCCGCAGCCTCAGGCCTTTGGGCGATGCAGGAAAGCACGCTGGCCTGCGGACAAAGACGACGACCACCACCAGGACCACGGCGACGACTCACACGACGACCACAACGGTGGCCTCATCTCGAACGCTCCCTTCGTCAATCTGCTCATGCGGTGCTCTGCACATATCCAATGACAAATCCGAAATGCGCAAACCGTGTTTTCTTTTTCCCTACCTAGGCTCTGCCTAGAAGGGTTCTTACTCCCTTAGCTTAAAGGGGCCGGGCAGTGGAAGTCGCCCCGGGCGGTTCCCCCAGTCCCCGCCCCGCGGTTCCCCCCAGTCCCCTGGGAGCTTTAGCTTTAGCTTAGCTTTAGCTTAGCTTTAGCTTATCTGTAGCTTAGCTTTAGCTTAGCGTTTCGCTTAGCGTTTCGCTTAGCTGTTCGCTGAGCGGTTAGCTTAGCTGTAGCTTAGCTTTAGCTTAGCTTGAGCTTAGCTTTAGCTTAGCTGTAGCTTAGCTGTAGCTTAGCTTTAGCTTAGCTGTAGCTTAGCTGTAGCTTAGCTTTAGCTTAGCTGTTGCTCAGCTGTTGCTCAGCGTTAGCTTAGCTTTAGCTTAGCTTTAGCTTAGCTGTGGCTTAGCTTTAGCTTAGCTTTAGCTTAGCTTCAGCTTAGCTTTAGCTTAGCTTTAGCATAGCGTTACTGTTACTACTAATGCTGCTTTCCTAGGGGTTCCAACTCCTAGGTAGGGTCGCACTGGGATAAGTCTTTTTCCCTACCTAGGCTCTGCCTAGAAGGGTTCTTACTCTGAGGCTTAAAGGGCCGGGCAGTGGAACCCGCCCCGGGCGGTTCCCCCAGTATCCGCCCCGCGGTTCCCCCAGTTACGTCCCCTTAGCTTAGCGTTGCTTATCTCATCTTAGCTTAGCTTATTTCATCTTAGCTTAGCTTAGCTTCTTATTAGATCAGGTTTTATCTCAACTTAGCTTGCTTTCATCTAAGCTTCGCTGAGCTTTAGCATAGCAGAGCACCGCATAGCATAGCGTAGCATAGTATAGCGCAGCATCGCATATCATAACATAGCCCAGCATAGCATAGCATAGCGCATCATAGCATAGCATAGCATAGCATATCATAGCATAGCGCAGCACATCACATCACAGCATAGCACAGCGCAGCATAGCATAGCGCAGCATAGTATAGCATAGCATAGCATAGCATAGCGCAGCATAGCATGGCATGGCATGGCATGGCATAGCAACTAATGCTGCTTTCCTAGGGGCTCCAACTTCTAGGTAGGGTCGCACTTGGGTAATCTTTTCTTGGGGGGGGCATGCGTCAAAGCGGCCCTCCACAACGGCCCCCAAACTGCCCCAAAGATAGCCCCCCAAGTCATCCAAACGGCCCCACAGCGGATCCTGATGCGCCCCAAATTGCTTTCAACCCACAAGAACCCCCCCAAACGGACACAAATGGTTCCAATAATCACCTCTTGTGCCCGGAAAACCTCCAAAACGCCTCAGGCAAAAATCGCCTTGCTCCATTTTTGGTGGGAAAATTACCTAACATCGAAGACTGATAGGTTTCTAATAGGGTAAAAAGAGAGCAGCACATTACTTCAACATTACTTCAACATTACTCCACAGGGGGGTCTGGGCAGCCGTTGGGGGCAGTTGGGTGGCAGTTGGGGGGCCGTTGGGGTTTGCCGGGGGGATCGTTTTTCGCATACAGTCACACACTTCGTGCTTTTCGATTTCCCAGAACTCCATTCCCGGGCCACATTTTGGAAGCCCGGAGCTAACTGTAGGCCACTTCGTGCTCTTCGATTTCCCAGAACTCCATTCCCGGGCCACATTTTGGATGCCCGGAGCCAACTGTAGGCCACTTCGTGCTCTTCGAGTTCCCAGAACTCCATTCCCGGGCCACATTTTGGATGCCCGGAGCCAACTGTAGGCCACTTCGTGCTCTTGGACTTCCCAGAACTCCATTCCTGGGTATGATTTTGAATGCCCGGAGCAAACTGTAGGCCACTTCGTGTTCTTCGAGTTCCCAGAATTCCATTCCCTGGCCACATTTTGAATGCTGAGGCAGGCTGAGGCTGAGGCTGAGGCAGGCTGAGGCTGAGGCAGGCTGAGGCTGAGGCTGAGGCTGAGGCTGAGGCAGGCTGAGGCTGAGGCAGGCTGAGGCTGAGGCCGAGGCTGAGGCTGATGAAGGCTGCAGGCTGAGGCTGAGGCAGGCTGAGCAGACTGAGGCTGAGGCTGAGGCTGAGGCTGAGGCTGAGGCTGAGGCAGGCTGAGGCTGAGGCTGAGGCAGGCTGATGCTGAGGCAGGCTGAGGCTGAGGCTGAGGCTGATGCAGGCTGAGGCTGAGGCAGGCTGAGGCTGAGGCCGAGGCTGAAGGCAGACTGAGGCTGAGGCTGAAGCAGGCTGAGGCTGAGGCTGAGGCAGGCTGAGGCGGAGGCTGAGGCAGGCTGATGCTGAGGCAGGCTGAGGCTGAGGCTGAGGCTGATGCAGGCTGAGGCTGAGGCAGGCTGAGGCTGAGGCCGAGGCTGAAGGCAGACTGAGGCTGAGGCTGAAGCAGGCTGAGGCTGAGGCAGAGGCAGGCTGAGGCTGAGGCAGGCTGATGCTGAGGCAGGCTGAGGCTGAGGCTGAGGCTGATGCAGGCTGAGGCTGAGGCAGGCTGAGGCTGAGGCCGAGGCTGAAGGCAGACTGAGGCTGAGGCTGAAGCAGGCTGAGGCTGAGGCTGAGGCAGGCTGAGGCTGAGGCTGAGGCAGGCTGATGCTGAGCCAGGCTGAGGCTGGGGCTGAGGCTGAAGCAGGCTGAGGCTGAGGCTGAGGCCGAGGCCGAGGCTGAAGGCAGACTGATGCTGAGGCTGAGGCAGGCTGAGGCTGAGGCTGAGGCAGGCTGAGGCTGAGGCTGAGGCAGGCTGATTGCAGGCGAGGGCTGAGCAGGCGGGCTTAGGCCGGTCTGAAGCTGAGGCTGAGGCTGAGGCTGAGGCTGAGGTTTCTGAGGATGGACTGAGGGAGGCTGAAGACAGGCTGAGGCTGAGGCTGAGGCAGGTGAGGCTGATGCTGAGGCAGGCTGAGGGCATGAGGCTGAGGCTGAGGCCAGGCTCAGCTGAGGCAGGTGAGGTGAGGCCGAGGCTGAAGCAGGACTGAGGCTGAGCTGAAGCAGCTTTGAGGCTTGGGCTGAGGCAGACTGAGGCTATGAGCAGGAGGCGGGTCTGTGCGAGGCAGGACGAGGCTGAGGGTTATGATGGCTGAGCAGGCTGGAGGCTGAGGCCAGACGGACGAGGCTGAAGGCAGACTGATGCGAGGCTGAACCAGGCTGAGGCTGAGGCTGAGGGCAGGCTGAGGCTGAGGCTGAGGCTGAGGCAGGCTGAGGCTGAGGCTGAGGCTGATGCAGGCTGAGGCTGAGGCAGGCCGAGGCTGAGGCCGAGGATGAAGGCAGACTGAGGCTGAGGCTGAAGCAGGCTGAGGCTAAGGCTGAGGCTGAGGCTGAGGTTGAGGCTGAGGCTGAGGCTGAGGCTGGCTGATGCTGAGGCAGGCTGAGGCTGAGGCTGAGGCTGAGGCAGGCTCAGGCTGAGGCAGGCTGAGGCTGAGGCCGAGGCTGCAGGCAGACTGAGGCTGATGCAGGAGCAGGCTGAGGCTGAGGCTGAGGCAGGCTGAAGCTGATGCTGAGGCTGATGCTGAGGCAGGCTGAGGCTGAGGCTGAGGCTAATGCAGGCCACTGCGACTGTCATCGCGAATGCGACTACGACTGCGAGAACAGCAGAACTGTACAACTGGATTCTCATCTGAATCTTAAGGGGGATGCTTCCAGATATGCTCCTAAACATCGCTGTTAGGTTGCTTTGCCGGGATAGTGCTGTTTTTACCTAACATCGAAGACTGATAGGTTTCTAATAGGCTAAAAAAAAAACAGCACATTACTTCAACATTACTTCAACATTACTCCACAGGGGGGTCTGGGCAGCCGTTGGGGGCAGTTGGGTGGCAGTTGGGGGGCCGTTGGGGTTTGCCGGGGATCGTTTTTCGCATACAGTCACACACTTCGTGCTTTTCGATTTCCCAGAACTCCATTCCCGGGCCACATTTTGGAAGCCCGGAGCTAACTGTAGGCCACTTCGTGCTCTTCGATTTCCCAGAACTCCATTCCCGGGCCACATTTTTGAATGCCCGGAGCAAAACTGTAGGCCACTTCGGGCCTCTTCTATTCCCAGAAACCCCATTCCCGGGCACATTTTGATGCTGATATGCCAACTGTAGGCACTCGTGCCTCGATCCAGAACTCCATTCCCCCGAGCACATTTTTTGGAGCCCGGAGCCACTGTAGGCACTTCGTGTTCTTCGACTTTCCCAGAACCCATTCCCGGGCCACGACGCTCAGAGAACATGCCCTACGCCTCCTCTTCATCCTCCCCATCCTCCCTCCTCCTCCTCCTCCGTTCCTCTCCCTCCTCCCCCCTCCTCCTCCTCCCCCCTCCTCCTCCTCCTCCGGCTCCTCCTCCTCCTCCTCTTCTCTCCTCCTCCTCCTCCTCCTCCTCATCATCATCATTATACATCATCATCATCATCACCACCGCCATCCATCCATCACCGTCATCATTCATTCATCATCCTCATCGTCATCGGCATCAATTTCAGCATCATTCTCATCATCATCACAACCACCACCATCACCTCAACCACCATCACCACCACCACCATCATCACCATCAGCAACAGCATCATCATAATCATCATCATCATCAAAATCATCATCATCGCCATCATCATCATCAGCATCAGCATCAGCATCGTCATCGTCATCGTCATCGTCATTGTCTTGACAGCCGTCTTTGGTTCAGGACGTGCTTCCCACATTGCAATCTTTCCGACGGAACCGGCCGTTCCTCCGCGGTCTACATTGCAATGGCCCTCCCCTGGCCCCATCCTTACCGGCCTGCAGCCTCGGCTTCTCGCGGTGCTTCTCAGCCTGCGGAGGAAGACCGACACACGCCTGCGGCCGCGCCTGCTCGCGGTGCTCCTCAACCTGCGTCTTTTACGGTCGCCTCTTTTAACTTCGGGTTCGAGCAG